AGGGTCAGTGAAAAAGAGGAAGTACTCCAACCAGATGGATTGACACAGTGACAGCAGCAAGAGCCTCAAATGTACTCCGGATGGTGCCGGAGTAGCAGTATTTCATTCTGTTGTGCATAGGATCACAGTTGCTATGAGTTGGAACCGATTTGAGGGAACCTAACAACAAACAACACCAATACCCAAAGGCATATTTTGGCTTTTGTGGACTTCTTTTAATTTTCTCATCTTCAGCCAGAACTTGCATATGAGCAATTGGTCCTTGTCTTTGTTTTGGCTGATGATACAGTCTTTCCCATCTCTCCCCAAAAAATCTGGCAAGGTCCATGCTTATGCCATCATTGGTATTGTTGAAAAAGACTGTTTGCCATGGATTAGTCCCTGGTCTTACAAAAATTCTATCATGTAGTTTCCAGCATTTTTTTCTACCACCAAGTCTATATTTTCCAATTTCTGCTCCATCCTCTTTGTCACCAGTAATTATCAATGCATCTTGAATGCATGTTTGGTCAATATCATACTGAGGAAGTTAGTAGAATTCGTCAGTTTGTTCATCACTAGCTTTGGTGGTTGGCGCATAAATTTGAATAATAAATCATATTAACTTGCCTTCCTTGTAACTATATTGATACTGTCCTATCAAAAACAGCATTGTACTTCAAGATAGAGCTTGAAATGTTCTTTTTGGTGATGAATGCAGTGCCATTCCTCTTGAATTTGTTGTTCTTGGCATACTAAACCATATGATGTCTGACTCAAAAATTTCAATACTTGCCAATTTCAGCTCAGTAATGCCTAGCTTACTAATCTTTTTTTAAAAGCCTACTAATCTTTATACATTACATTTTATGTTTGATGGCTTGCAATTTTCCTAGATTCATATTTTGCACCATCCACGTTCCAATTATTATGGATATTTGCTGTTTCTTCTCCTTTGGAGTCATGCCCTATCATAAAAATGAAGGCCTCAAAAGCTTTACTCCATCCACATCATTAAGGTCAACTCTACTTTGAAGAGGCAGCTCTTCCCCAGTCATATTTTGAGTGCCTTCCAAGCCAAGGGACTCATCTTCCAACACTATAATTTTGTTTTGCTAATCACTTAGAAGGTTGCACAGTAGCTCCATAAGATAAGCCCTGGACAACAAACCACAAGATTTGTGGTTTGAGCCACCATCTGTTCTGTGAGAGAAAAATAAGGCTTTCTGCTTCTGCAAAGATTTATAGTCTCAGAAACCCTATGCAGGTCGCTATGAGTCTGAACCAACTTGACAGCAGTTAACAATAACAGAATCCCCAAGAAGTGGGCCACCTATTCCTGCTTCTTAGTCTGCTCTTGTCTGAAAGCTTTGTCTACATTGTTCACCATGAGGGACCGTTGTGGTATTTAAAACACCTGTGGTATAGTTTCCAGTATGTCAGTAACAATGAAGGCATAACTGTACGATCAACTGACAGACATGCAGGGTTGAAGCACTTAGGTCAGTTATTTGGTATGATTTTTATGGATTTGGATTTGTTTGATATTTCCTCCTGATTATGAATTTCCTCCAGACTATAGATTTTGGACAGAAATACCACGGAAGTGATGTTTTGTCTTTCTCAGTACATCACACCAGGAGACACATGTTATCTGCTGGTCCCATTATTGGTGATGTGAACTTGGGCATTTGGTTAAGGTGAAGTCTAACAGGTTTCTCTACTTTGTAATTAGTAAATGATTTGTGAGGAGATTCTTTAAAACTGTATATGTGATTCTACAGTGCCTCATCAAACTTGCACTCTTGAGTTGTAATATCTATTGGTGATTACTGCATTAATCGGTTGATACTTTGAGTTCTCAAGGAGCGACTTTTAAACTGATAATTCTCTATAGAGCCATTAGTTGGTATTCCAGTGTAAGAAAGAGCTTTCTTTTTTTATTTGTTTGCTTACTTACTTATTGATCTATATCTTTATTATGGATTTTTACTTTATTCAGTGCATTTAGTCTCTTGTGGACATTATTTATTTTGAAATTCAAATTGTTCCAGATTTGATTAGTGAAGGCTTCTTGATGATAACCTCTGTGTTTGTATGACATGCTCACATAATTTTTAAAATTTTGAGTACTTCTTTATTTTTTGTCACAACAAGATGTTCCAGGTTCATCTTGTTCTTTTCCTGATCCACCATGAAGTATTATTTAGAAATCAAAGTCTGTGTTGGAGCATTGGTTGCTAGGTGTGAGTATTGCTACTGCAGTGTTATTTCAGGGCCTTCAGTAACTGAGCTAGGAAAGAGTGTGCGTGTGTGTGTGTGTGTGTGTGTGTGGGGTGTGCTTCAAAAAGTTCATGGAAAACTTCCGTTCTCTTTTTTTTCCCCATTCTCTTTTAACCCATTTTTCCATGAGCTTTTTGAAGCCGCTTAGGAGCTCTGGTAGCATAGTGGTTACGAATCGGGGTGTTAACCTTAAGGCTGGGAGTTCGAAACTACCAGCTGTTCCGTGGGAGAAAGATGAGACTTTCTGCTCCCGTAAAGATTTGCAGCCTTGGAAACCTTGTGCAGGGTCACTGTGAGTCGGAACCGACTCCACGGTACTTAACAACAACAACAACAACTATATGTACATGAACTCCTGGTGTGGTGCTGTAAGATAAGCACTCGACTACTAACTACAAGGTTGGCGGTTCAAACCCACCAGCTGCTACTTGTTAACTCGATACAGCCGTTGCTATGATTCAGAACTGACTCAACGGCACTTAACAACAACAGTATATGCACATGGTGAGTATATTGTATGCTGTTATTAAGTAAGGTGGAATCGGTTCCAACTCATAGTGACCCTGCATAGGGTTTCTGAGGTTGTAAATCTTTACGGGAGCAGAAAGACTCATCTCTCTCCTGCAGAACTGTTGGTAGTTTCGAACTGCTGACCTTGAGGCTGGCGGCCCGACTCGTAACCACTATGCTACCAGAGCTCCTTTTACAACTGAATTATTTTAAATACCCAGCTGTTCCAGTGACATTATATCCCTGTGAACTCTTTTAAATGACAACTTGGAAATAAACACTTAGCTCAACATGTTGTTGTTGTTATGTGCCATGGAGTCGGTTCCAACTCATAGCGACCCTGTATAGGGTTTCAGAGGCTGTAAATCTTTATGGGAGCAGAAAGCCTCATCTTTCTCCCGCGGAACAGCTGGTAGTTTTGAACTGCTGACCCTGAGATTAGCAGCCCGATCCGTAACCACTATGCTACCATAGCTCAATATAAGAAGATATTTAATACCTATTTGTTTGCCTGCTATTTTGGTATTGCAGACATTGTGGGTAGCCATATTTTATATCTGTATTTAGTTCAGTGTTCATAGAGTCTAGTCCTCCTTCTGTAAAATCCATATTTTTAGGATTCCTTGTAGAACCTTTTCCTTTTGCCACAACCTGTTTCTCTTTGGTAAAAGGTGAGGTGAGTACCCATACCCTTCCCTTATTCTTATTTAAGGCATTTCTCTTCTGTTTATTTAGTTGTTGTTAAGTACCATTGAGTTAGTTCTGACTCATAGTGATCTTACATAGGGTTTCTGAGGCTGAATATTTATGGGAACAGAAAGCCTCATCTTCTCCCTCAGAGCAGCTTGTAGTTAGCAGTTCAGTACTTAGCCATCACACTCTATTTATATATGGTGGTGGTGGTGTGCCTTGGAGTTGCTTCTGACTCATAGCGACCCTGCGTAGGGTTTCCAAGGCTGTAAATCTTTATGGGAGCAGAGAGTCATGAGGCAGAATGGTTGGTAGTTTCAAACTACTGACCTTGAGGTTAGCAGCCTGACTGGCAGAAAATGAGGAAGAAAAATGAGTCAAGAAAAGGAAATACTTAACAGTTTCACAATCAACCTGTAAATTACTCCTAACCTAAAAGCCCAAACATGTTGCTGTCCAGTCAGTTCTGACTCATGGCGCCCCCATGTGTTAGGAGTAGAACTGCGCTGTTTTCCTAGCTGTGATCTTTACAGAATCAGGACACCAGGCCTTTCTTCATTGGTACAACTGATTGGATTTGAGTCTCCCACCTTTAGGTTGGTAGTCAAGAGTAAACCATTCATGAACTTCTAAGGAGTAACGTATTTTTGAAAAACAAATTTAAAAAAATCTTACTCGTAAGTTTCCAGGTTATTTGGAGATTTTTCCACCAGGTAACTGCTTGGTACATATCCTTCATGCCTGTTAAAAGGAAGATTAATGTTTAAATTAAGTAGACCTAATTTTCACATGTTGCTTTTCAAGAGTTAATCTATTAAAAGTTAGAAGTGTGGATGTCCCTCATTATTTGGCATTAACAATAGCATATTTTAAATTTTAGACCACAAGAATTGGTAAAAAGAACAAGAACCGGCAAAGTGTTAAAGGTAATAGACTTCACCACTAAAATATGAACCATAAAAATAAGAGGTGACTTTTATTTTAAAAGCTCTGCTGGCTGCCCTCCTCATTGTGAAGTTCTGTCTACTGGGGGAAAAAAAAAAAATAATAATGTTCAGTCTCTAATTTCTGTAAGGGAACTTTTTTTTTTGATGTGTAATAATATTTATTCCACTTAAGTGCCACCACTTTACAGTCAAGACACCAAAATAATTAAAATATATATAAACAATGTTTTCCAGCTACAGGCTCCACATGAACTATCAGTTGATATTATGAGCTTTTTATAATTCAAGGCCTCTAATAGTTTTTGTTAATTAAGCTTCTTTAGATGTAAAAGGTGTAAAGGTGAGAAAATAGGATGAAGTCAGGCTGGATTTCTGGGGTGTCATTTTTGAACAGGAATTCATAATTGTGTATAAACAAGGAACCATGGACAAGAAACTAATGAAAATACCAGATTTTATGTGTATGTAGTGTCTGATAGTGTAGTGGTTACGAATTGATCTGCGAACCGCAAGGTCAGCAGTTCGAAACTACCAGCTGTTCCCCGGGAGAAAGATGAGGCTTTCTGCTCCCATAAAGATTTACAGCCTCAGAAACCCTGAACAGTGTCGCTATGAGTTGGAACCGACTCCACGGCATACAGCCGCCACCACCATGTAGTATCTAGTTTTCACAGCAGTTTCATGTTCACCATTTCATTTCAAACCACCAGGTAAAAGCGCTGCCACTTCCGCTCTGTAAAATGAGGAGCCGAAAGTAGATGATCCATAAAGTTCCACTCCTCCAATATACAAAAATAAGCCTGATAGTTTTTAGCCTCTTACTCCTAAAGTGTTTTAATTGTTTTCAGAATAAGGTTACTTCTCAGTCTAGTGATTATGTATAATGGGGAATGAATAATGTGTTTCACAGAGGTTGTTTTGAGGAATGAAGAAACCAAGAATAGAGGTGCTCAATACAGTACCGTTATCTTGTACCCATGGCAGACATTACCAATCTATCATGGTTCACTCTTTTTAGAAAACTGCACATCAGGCTTCGGAATCATCTGTAACCTGGCATTCAAGGCAGCCACTGCCAGTTGTTTGTTGTCATTGTTAAGTGCCATTGAGTCTGTTCCAACTCATAGCTACCCTGTATAGGCTTTCTGGTGAGCAGCTGGTGCGTTTAAACTGCCGACCTTGTGGATGACAGTCAAGTGCTTACCTTACAGTGCCACACCAGTTGGTAGGCGATAGCTATTTAAAAATTATTTGCAATTCCTTCTGTAGCTATTTTGGAACTCCCCTGAATTAAGTCTATCTTTGCCATACCAGTGTGTTTAAAATTATACTAACAGATTAAAAAAAAAAAATGTTTTAAATAGAGACCTGTACCATAGTATGCCAACTAAAGCTAGATTACAGATAAAAATGTTGTTGGTAAGTGCCATCAAGTCGATTTCAACCCAAATCGACCCTGTATAGGGTTTCCGAGGAGCAGCTGGTGAATTGAACCTCTGACCTTGCAGTTCAAACCGCTTTGCAGTCTGGCGCATTAACCTACAGCGCCACATCAGGATCCATGGATAAAAATAAGTGATAGTAATTATTTTAATTTGTATGTGATATAGAATTTACGACGCCCCTTTCATTTTCATCATCTCATTGCCTTTCTCAATGCTGTAAGACAGAGAAAGCTGATAATATTTACGTTGTGCAGAAAGGAAATCGATTCGCCGAGTATACTTGACTTGTCCAAAGTCACATACAAGAAATAATAACTGATATAAAAATCCACATCTCCTGTTTCCCCATTTTGTGTACTTTCCAGCGCTCCATACTATTACAAAGCAGCCCAGGGAAATCCCCACCATGCAGATTATCCTCTGAGGTGGCCTCTTTGATGCTCTTTGAAGTATCAAGCATTGAGCATTTCCAAAGGCCATGGTTCAAAGGGTAAAACTGTCATTTGGGGAAGTAAGACCTAGGACAAGAAATTTCCTGGAACATTTGCAGTGCTAAATGTCAGTTGATTGAACTGGTGAATTTCTGAATTAGTTCATCTGGTGTTTGTAGATCCAGGCAGCCTGGAGTTTGCTCCTAATATGGGGCAATGAGAAGGTCAGGCCAACAGACTCATTTGCCTATGAGTGAGCTAGAGAGTGAAGTTCTTGATGAGGGGCTTTGGAGTCTATTCTTAGCTACCAAGCTGCAATGTCCGGTAAACAATTATCTATTTAATCACATCTTACCTGTACCCTCCCCGAAATGCAAACTTTGATAAATGCAAATCATGTAAAGTCATAGCTTTAAGGTTATTTGTACCCCAAATGAAAGCTAAAATCATAGAAAAAGATTGGAATCCTTTTAAAAATCTATTAAATTGGCCTTTTGGTTCTAAGTTTACGAATATTCAATATGTGAGAGGATGTGCAAAATAGGCACTCTATAACTATACTAATGAGCTCTGGTAGCGTAGTGGTTATGAATCGGGCTGTTAACCTCAAGGTCAGCAGTTCAAAACTAGCAGCTGTTCTGCAGGAGAAAGATGAGGCTTTCTGCTCCTGTAAAGATTTACAGTCTCAGAAACCCTGTACAGGGTCGCTATGAGTCAGAACCGACTCCATGGCATACCACCACCACCATAACCTTACTGTTGGATATGTAAATTTGGCAACCTATCAAAATTAAGATACCACATATTCCGACTCAAAAGTTCCACAGTTAAAAATATGTAGATAATAAATATTAATGGGTCAACAAGAGGGATCGACACAGCATATAGTCTCAAAAGGTTGCCAAAATACACAAGCAAAAGATCTTCATGTTGAGGCCTTAACTGAAATAAAGAACATAAAGCAAGTAAGCTGGAAAGTAAATGTTCCACGTTGAAAGATTGCTTCATTCTTTATAATACAATCATACAGTCTAACACAGCCATTGTTTTAAATGTGAGGTAGGACTTCACGTGCTGATGTAAAAGATCCTCAAAATTTACCATTAATGGTTGAAAACAAAATGAAAACCAGGAATGTCGGTTTAGCATGTAAATAAAGAAAGGCTGTATGAGACAGATTCAGACAGTTAGTGAGAAAATTCCATGATCTTTTCAGTTCCTCTTCTCACAAACTTTTGAAGCCCCTCGTATTTGTATGAGTCCTGGTATAGCACAGTGGGTTAATGCGCCAGACAGCAAAGCAGTTTGAACTGCAAGGTCAGTGGTTCAAGCTCACCAGCTGCTCCTTGGAAACCCTACACAGTGTTGCTATGGGTCAGAACCAACTTGACAGCACTTAACAACAACAACAACAACATATTTGTATGAGAGAAATTATGGTGACACAGTGGTTTAAAGTGCTTGACTGTTATGCCAAAGATGGGTGGTTAAAACCCATCATTCTCTCCATGGGAAAAAGAGGTGGCAGTCAGCTTCTGTAAACCTTACAGCCTTGAAACTCTATTGGGTGGTTCTACTCTGTCCTCTGTGGTCGCTGTAAATCAGAATCTACTCATGGGAATTTTTTTCTTTTTGTGTATGAATAACTTTTTTTCCTGAGGATACACTTTTGGAATTGATGTAGGGAAGAAGAAAAACTGTTTCTTTTTCACGTATGTTTTGCTGTACTGGTAGTGGGGTGTTTTGCTTTTTTAAATGTTGTAATGATGGGATAATTTTCTTTTTTAGATTTTAAAATTAATAACAACCCCATACTTAAAAAAATGTGGAAACTCTATAAAAGGGTATTTACTGCAGTGCTATTAATATTTGTAAAATATCAGAAACAATCAAAATGCCAAAAAAGAGGGAATTGTTTAAATTATAGTAGATTTATATGTTGCATTTATGCCCCCTCCCCCCCAAAAAAGGTGACAGTCTCCCAATCTGTGGATGCTAGTGGAACACCCAGGGGATTTTTTGATGACGGTGCTTGAAGTGGAGGACAGGTAGGAAATGTAGCAAGTGGTTGCCTTGTGGCCACTTCTAAGAAGAAGAAAAACTCCCCTCAGCTCTTTCCTCTTCCTCCTGCTTCCTTCTGCCCCTGTTCTCTTCTCTGCTGTGTGATGATCATGCTGACAGAAGTAGGACACGTCGTCCAGTGTTTTCTTTGTCACTGCCCCTCCTCAAACCTTACGTGAGTAACCACCAGTTACCATTAAATCGATTCACTCATGGCAATCCTATGTGTGTCAGAGTAGAACTGTGTTCCATAAGGTTTTCAATAGCTGATTTTGGGGAAGTAGATCATTGGACCTTTCTTCTGAGGTTCCTTAGGGTAAACTTGAATCTCCAACCTTTTGGTTAGCAACTGAGTCCATTAACTGCTTGAATCATCTGGAGGCTACACAATAGCAAGAAAAATGTCTTACCCATTCTTATCCTGAACTCTCCACCAGTGAATCTCAGAACTATCCAGCAAGTAGTATTCTTCACTGCGGCGAAGCGTGAGTTCCTGTGGATCGTTTGTTTGGTAGTCATATAAGGCAATAACCAAAGTTTCATCTGGTCCCTGGAGTGACCGCTGGGGGAGGGAGACAACAAAATCAATCAAATACACAAAAAGGAGGGACAATGCAGAACAAGGTTAGCAAATCCTTGAGTTTTGTTTGTTCCTGGATCTAAACTAGATCAACACATTGGCTCCTATAATGCACTGGGCTATTCACTGCGGCAATCTGCCTTCTTCTAGTTGGCTCTCTTTATGAGTTTGCCTTACACTGCTGAGTATGAGGCACACACAATAAAGAGCTGGAATTCATTCTGCTAAGTAAATTCTGGCCCCAGTGAATTCCAGGCAGTCACATGCTTTACCCTAGAGCCTGCTGGTTTCTCTACATGTACCATGCAGCACATCACGCAGCCTTTCTGCACTGGGGAAGGTGATTCACTCAACACAAAATCATTCAGTTGATGCTATGCGGATTTGATTTGTAGGTTGTCCAGATCAACAGAAATAATAGACTCTGAGAGCTAGAATGCCTCTGAGAGATCATTTGATTCAACTTTTCATTTTGAATAGAGAAACTGAGACACAATGGGGAAATGGCTGTGATCAAGTTTAGAGCTTGAATTAGTCTTAATGACTTCACCATTAAAACACATGGTTTTCCTGCTTTCTTTTGTGGGCTATCTTTTACCCACATCGCTTCTCCTCAGTATTTTTCTTAGGACGAGATATCGAGGACATGAAAGAAATACTGTAAACCAATCATGAGTTCAGGAAGGGCTAGCTCTCTTTTTATATTTTCAAATTTTTTTAAAGAGTAAATATGGGAAGAGATGGAGATTCCTGGCTAAAATATGATATGTTGTTGTTGTTAAGTGCTGTCAAGCTGGTTCCGACTCATAGGGACCCTGTATAGGATTTCCAAGGAGCAGCTGGTGAATTTTAATCTGACCTTGTGGTTGAGTGCTTATCCTACAGTGCAACATCAGGACTCCATGAAATGGGAGAGTGTCGGGGGGAGTCATAGTTCTCCCAGTACAGGCATCCCTCACTTTTCAAAAGTTGATTTTATACCACACTGCTTTTACAAAAGATCTCCATTAGCACCTGTTTTTGCAAACCAAAAGATATCCGAAGAGGATCTTCACTTTTATGAAACAAGGTAAAAAGTGAAACTAGAGTTCAAAGCAGTGAAACTGACACTACCACGCTCCTTCCTGGGGAATGACAGCCAGCCCTCAACAACCATAGCTTGGAACTGTTATCTGTGAACAGTAAATGGTAGTGCGACTTTTAGGCTTCATGTGTTAGCTTGTATGATTTGATATGTCAATTGTTGGATCTGGGAACACTTTTTCTATATAAATCAAAGGTAATTGCTTCTTCATTGAATGCCATTTTGGCTTATGAAAGATTTCATAGCAACATTTTACATATAGCAGGGAAAACCTGTATACGGCAGCATTTGGCACCATGAAAATAACACAGCTAAGAAAGAAAAAGACTTGTCATACTGATGCAGTATGTCATCTCAGTTGAGACCAGATTGAAATTTGAAGTCCAGATATTTGTAGAGCTTCTGCAGTGGTGGTATCTATTGGCATGAATCAATGGGCCTGAAGCTTTGTTCTAAGAGCAAACGGTGGGAAGATTGCATTCCAAGACACCTGAAGGAGATAAGTAGGGAAATGGCTTGGAATTGATCTGAATTAACTAAGAAGGCCTTGGTGGTAAAAATGATGCTGGAGAATGCATGATAGAATTCTGCAAAACCAATAATTTGTTCATTTCAAATACCTTCTTTAGATAGCATAAGAGACGACTATACACATGGACCTCACCAGATGGAATACATAGAAATCAAATTAACTACATCTATGGAAAGAGACAATGGAAAAGCTTCATATCATCAGTGAAAATAAGGCCAGGGCAGACTGTGGAACAGACCATTAATTACTCATATGCAAATTCAACTGAAGCGGAAGAAAACGAAAACAAGTCCACAAGAGCCAAAATATGACCTTGAATATATCCCACCTGAATTTAAAGATCATCTGAAGAACAGATTTGATACACTAAACACTAAAGACCGAAGACCAGAAGAGTTGTGGGATGACACCAAGAATATCATACATGAAGAAAGCAAAAAGTCATTGAGAAAACAAGGAAAAAGGAAAAGGTCAAAATGGATGTCAGAAGAGACACTGAAACTTATTCTCCAGCGTAGATGCTAAAGCAAATAGAAGAAATGAGGAGGTCCAAGAGCTGAACAGAAAATTTCAAAGATCAGCTCGAGAAGATAAAGCCAAATATTACAACAAAATGTGCAAAGATCTGGAAT